GTGTGTGTGTGTGTGTGTGTGTGTGTGTGTCATCATTGCTCTTGGTGGCTTGTCCTCTCGGCTCACTTTGGGAGTGTTAATGGATGGAGTCTCCTTTTACACGCTGCTCAGTGATGGGAGAGGGTTTAATTGATTGCTGGTCCCACTCCCCAGTTGCACGATAAGAGCAGGCAGTACTTAATAAGTAATAATACTGCAGCCACAGTCTGTTTCCCAGAGTTCTTTAGACAGCCCTGAGAGAGTAAGGCATTATGGATGTCATGTTATACATCAGGAGATGGGGTCAGGGACATGGGGAAACTTGCCATAGATGCTCATGGCCTGTGGCTGAGACTGCTGCACACAACCAACTAACCCTTTAATTGCCTCTTGACTATTCACACAAAGGCCTGGTACCACCGGGCCCCTGGAGCTCTCTGACCTCTTCTTGCTCTGCTCTCCACCTTTCTGGTCTCCCTTCAGGCCCCTCCCCCACTTTCCAAGCCTGTCTCCCTCCTCATCCTCCAAGGACCCACTGCGCCCCTCTTCTGAATAGCACCTCCTTAACCCACTCACCTCCCTGGTACTGCTAATCTTTCCCTGTGCCGTGGATTATAATTATACTGCAAGTTGGTGTTGGCCTGTCCCCAAGGAGGGGGACAAAGGTCTATTAATGCCAAGTATAATAACTAAACAATGGGCACGGGAGGACATAGTACTGATCAGTGACCTGGTCCACCACTCACTGGCTGTGTGACTCGAGAAAACCTGAGAGCCTCGTGCAGCGTCCGCGCCTCTGCGGTATGAGGACACATTCCTTACCGCATGTGAATTCCACTCTAATTCCTAAGGAGCAGGAATCACTAGGCCAGGTCCTTGCCTCAGGGGTTTGTGGTCAGCTTGGGAAGGCTGGTGGTCCTCCAAAGTGGAAGATGGACAGCAAGATGCTGACTGGGGGGTGCTTCTGTCTCTAGCGTCAAGTAAGCAAGGATCTCCATTCATTCATATTCATTAACTTCGCAAGGACCCCTCTTAATTCATTTAGCAAATATTTATCGGGTGTTTACTATGTGCCAGGCACTGTTGTAAGCGTTTTACAACAGCAAGCCATTTCATCCTCTTAAACCCTGAAGGCACGTACTACTAAGACTGTCATGTGACAGAAGGATGGAGAGTTTGTCATTTGCTCAGAGTTATAAAGCGAGTCTGTGATGGAGCTGAGATTCCAGGTGTGTGCCCTTGACTGCTATGCCAGGCTGCCTCTCAGTGACTCATGTCCCTCTTGCTTTCTGAAACCTTCCCTCTCTCAGAACGTGACAAAGGCTGAGGAACTCATTGCAAACACTGGCCCATGAGCCCTTGAGAAGCAGCAGCCAAGACATCTACATGAGGCTCTCTGTGGGCCAGGCCCTCACTTCCTGCTCCAGCTCCTGGACACGACTGCTCAGCCGCTTCACTCTGGTTTTCGCACCCTCCGACTCCGCCATCAGCACTCGGTTCTTTTTGGACAGCTCAACGATTTTGGTGGCGACCACATCCCCGGCTACACCAGCCGTCCCTAAGATGAAAGAAATGGTGAGGCCAATTTAAACCACAAATCTACACACTGAACTCATGCCACACCACCAACTGCACTGGGTTTTAGAAGTTAAAGCCACTTGGTGTGAATGCTCTCCAAGGGGCAGAGACTCACGTGACTCACCACATGAAGCTGGGCAAGGGGCTAGAGAGTGATGGAGCCCTGAGACCCCGCTCCAGCGAGTGGAAATTCATCCTGTCCTAGGGGTCACGTCAGAAAGCAGCATTTTAATTCTGTGTGAGCAGCATTTTAATTACTGCTCCAATTCTTCAGGATATCCTCAGAAATAGGGTGACACATCCATTCCGTGCCCTGGAACTTTGCTGTGCCCTCTGGTGACCACTCTAGGCCTGTCTGACTCTGGGCTCAGCTGAAGCTTTAGACAATGGGATGTTAGCGGCTATGCTGCAAGTTGTTGTTAAGTGCCGTAGAGTTGGTTGTGACTGTATAGTGTTTCCAAGTCAGTAAACCTTTGCGGGAGCAGAAAGCCTCATCTTTCTCCTGCCGAGTGGCTGGTGAGCTTGAACAGCTGACCTTGTGGTTCGTAGTCCAGTGCTTATCCTACAGAGCCACACTTCCTATGATGTACATGGTAGTGGTGGTAGTTGTGTACCACTGAGTTAGTTCCTACTTATAGCAACCCTCTCTAGGGTTTCTGAGGCTGTAAATCTCTATGGAAGCTGAGAGCCTCATCTTTCTCCAGCAGAATGATCGGTGCATTAGAACTACAAACCTTGTAGTTAGCAGTCCGGTTTGTAATCCACTACCCTACCAGGGCCCCTGATGAAGTAAGTAGAACTTGAAACACATTTATGAGTCAAATTTGCACATTGTCACCAAAGCAACATGTTCAGGTCAGCTAGCTGGGCCCGGAAAGAGCATGAGAGACACAGGAACAAAGCTAAACCCCACCCAGACTTTAGCTAGATCAGCCAATCCGCAGATGGTTGAGCTGAATAAATGCTTTTTGTTGAATGCCACCAAAGTTATGTGGCTGTCAGCTATGCAGAATTTTGTGACAACACATAACCAGTAAGAATGCATGCTTTCAGTTAGTAGAGATTTATTGAGTTTCTAGACTCCTGGTGTGGCGCTGTAGGATCAGCACTGGACTGAGAACTACTAGGTTGGCTGTTCAAACCCATGACCTGCTCCTCAGAAACCCTACACAGGGTTGTTATGAGTTGGAACCAACTTGACAACACTTAACAACAACATTGAGTTTCTATCAAGTGCTGGACACTTTAGTTGTCAGGTATTCAGTGGTGAATAAAAAAGACTTCCAGACTTTACATTCTCCAGGAATGAATAAAGGTTTACCTTTTCCTCTTCTAGTCGGGGATATACACAATAAAACAAACAAATATACAAGGGGGCTTCAAAAAGTTTGTGGGAAAATTCTGGTATTCCATTTTTCCATGAACTTTCTGAAGACCATTTGTAGACACCTTATAGTATCTGGGAGGTGGTGGTGTTGTTCAGTTCTGACTCACTGTGATCCTGTTTAGGGTTTCCAAGGAGTGGCTGGTGAGCTTGAACCACTGATCTTGCAGTTCAAACCGACCTTGCAGCCCTGCGCATTAACCCACAGCACCACAGTAGGACTCCAACTAGGAGGGTGAAGTTCTATGAAATAAACTGAAACTGGGCAAGGGGGTGGAGAGTGATGGAGTGAGGCTATTTTAGAAGGAGTGTTCAGGGAAGGCCTCTCCAAGGAGGTAATGTGTGAACAGAGACTTAAATGAATTCAGTGAAGGGTTATGGCAGGAAGAAGGTTGATCTCAACTAGAGAAAGGGATCTAAGCAGAGGAAACAGAGGGTGCAAGGATTCTGAGGCAGGAATGTGCAGTGTCTAGGGAATTTCAAGGAGATCACAGTGGGTGAGGGAAGGAGGCCAAAGAGGTGGTTGGAGAGAAAGAAATAGGGGAAGTCACATTGGGGTGGGCTATACAGAAGGCAGGCAGTGGCAGCTAGCCCTTGTGGACAACGGACTGCTGGGTAACCCTGGCAGGTTCTTATCCTCCCTGGAGTTTCCCTACCTGCACAGAGACAGCTTTGGTTGGATGGGCTACAAGCTTTCTGAATGTTTCTGACATCACTGCAATGGGCAACTGTCAGGGACACCTTCTCAAACCACTTTTCAAAAAGACCTTGATGCATCTCAGAACAAGCCTAAGATTGTTCATTATCACTGGTGGATGGTAAAATAAAGGCACTGACAGCTTTCAAATCCACCCATCCCAAACTTGCCGCAGCTAGCAAGGAATGACTGCCCTTGGCAACCTCACATCTGCTGAAGAGGATGAGAACACAGTAAGAGCAACAGTTCAGAAAGGTCTGGATTCTTGGGATATCTACAGGTGGGGGTGGACGGGCATCATTTAGCACAGAGGTGGCACATCTGGCTCCCTAAATAAGTGATGTGGGGAAAAACAGATATTGTGAGATCACTGGGAAACCAGTTTACTCTAGCAGTTAAGGAAATACCAATTAAGCAGAGATTCTGGCCAATGAAATGCACAGAAAAGAGCCCAGTTAGGGACAAGGTCCCCGTTAGACAGAGCCAATATCTATCACATACTGTAGGGCCAAGGCCATCCCAGATGCACAGCCAGAGTCTTCAACCAAAAGAGCCAACATCCGGCCCAGATCCTGCTGAGGAGGTTGGCTCCTAGGAACTCCTAGAATAGCCAACCTCTCTGCCTTGTCCAGCTCTCTCGAGTAGCAATGGCAGATGCTGTATAGTAAATACCCACTCCGACTTGGGCTCTTCCTCTATGACACAATGCCTGAGCCCAGCACCAAGATGAAATGGACCCTGCTGGCCTTGTCATGAGCCCCAGCTGGGTCTCCAGTATTGCCTGCTAGCCCTGCTGTTCCTTGGGCTCCCAGTCCCTGGCCTCCCTGGACTTTCTCACGGCTTCAACCCTTGCCTCATTTTTAGGACTCACAACTGATCCTTAGCATTCTCTCCCAGGCCCCTACTCTCTGAGACCTGCTGTTTGTTCTGTCCAGCAGGCACCAGGGAAGCTGGGCCAGCCACTGGATTCCTGGGCAGGGGAATGGGTCAGACGGTCACAACTACCTGTGAAGGCAAATCTATCATCTTCTATTTTCTTTTTGAGGTGTTTGATTTCAAAATCCCGTTCCTTCAGTAGTTTATACAATCTCCCGTTCTCATCAACTGTTTCCCTGAGCTGGTCTCGAAGCTGCTCAATCTCATCTTCAAGCACCCTATAAGGCAAAGGCAGAGTTAGTCCTCCTTCCAGGGGCCCATGGGCAGGGATCCAGCCTCCGCTGCCCAGGCTTGTAGTATAGAGACTGGGTCTGTATAACACAGGAAAGAGAAATTAAGAAAACTTCAATGATCAGATTTTAACACTTTGCTCTGAGAACTAAGTCATTATGCCTGCACACATGAGCAGACACTTTCACTCCCTCTCTCTCTCTCTCTCACACACACACACACACACACACACACACACACACACAAAGTGAAAACAGAAAGAGGTTTGAATAACATTATTCACTGGCTGGATTCAACAGAAACCTAAAACCAAGCCCTCTGTCACTGGCTTTGTAGTTCTGATCCATGGACTCTGTACAGGGTTTCTGAGGTTATAAATCTTTATGAGAGTCTCAGCTTTCTATTTTAGAGCAGTTGGTGGGTTTGAACTGCTGAACTTGTGGTTAGTAGTTAGTTCAGTGCTTATCCTAGGTGAGTGCCACCAGGATTCAGCAGAGAGCTAAATAAAACACTCCACCAAGAGAATCCATACTCCTTTAAAGCATCCCTGAACGTGCATAAAAATGTACCATATTTTGGGTTACCAAGGCAGTCAAAGAAAATGCCAAATAATAAACATCATACAGATCATTTTCTCTAATGGCAAGTGACTGAAATGATAAATTCATACTAAAAAGCAATAAATAAACAAAACCCCCAAATCTGCCATATAAGTATGTTTGGAACTAAAACCAAAAATAATCTAAATTACTTATGGTTTAAATTGAAGGCATAAGGTGCACTATGAAGTATTTAGAATTGGATGACAGCAGAAGCAACATTTATCAAAATATGAGGGCTATTGCTACGGTGATTGTTGTTGTTGTTGTTAAGTGCTGTCAAGTTGATTCTGACCCATAGCGACCCTGTATAGGGTTTCCGAGGAGCAGCTGGTGAGTTACAGTGATATTTAGAAGTAAATTCACAGTCGTACATGCATATGTTAAAAGACCAAATAGAACTTTGCTAAGCCTTAAATTAAGGAGCTCTGGTAGCGTAGTGGTTGCGAATTGGGCTGCGAACTGCAAAGCCAACAGTTCCACACTACCAGCTGTTCCGCAGGAGAAAGATGAGGATTTCTGCTCCCGTAAAGATTTAAAGCCTCGGAAACTCTCTACAGGTCACTATGAGTCGGAACTGACTCCACGGCACATAAGCAAGCAAGCAACCAAGCCTTAAATTGAGGCTAGGCCTCTATGTTGCAGGTAAATCCTATGGAAGATCAGAACAGGAGAATGATTTTTTGTATTACAAGTTGTCTTGTAAGGCTCTTCCCAGAACTTTTATTAAGTATTTGGTGTGGTGCTGTGGGTTAATGTGCTAGACTGCAAAGTCAGTTTGAACCACAAGGATGGTGGTTCAAACTCACCAGACGTTCCTTGGAAACCCTACTCAGGGTCTCTATAGATTGGAACTGACTTGATGGCACATAACAATAACATTGTGAAGCACAACACAGACTCCATAGAAATAGTTGCTCAAGAATACATAAGATAGAAATTACAGGCCCAAGGTCATAGTAATTATTACATCAATGACTCAAAACCTAAACCAAAAAGCCACGGCCATTATCATCGATTCTGACACATGCAACCCTACAGGACAGAGGAGAACTGTTCTCTAGGGTTCCAAAGTGGTAGATCTTTATGGGGTAGTGGATTTGAACTGCTGACTTTGCATTTAGTAATCCAATGCATAACCTACTTGGCCAGCAGGGCTCCTTCTCAATGGTTCAAGTCTTTATTTCCCCGATTTGGAGAGAGGTCATTGTAGATAGGTCTTAGGTTAACTTAGAACTAATGTTTAGGAATCAAAATGAAATTTTCAACTATCAATAAATCTTTAAATCTTTATTTCCTCCCAATTAGCTTTTTGTTGTTGAAAGCAGAAGCTTTTAGACATTGAGAACCCATATGTGGTGAAATAAGCATGTGACCTTTTGCCTTAGTTCTTTGGATAAACAGCTTGAGAGATTTACCTGGTTTCCTATCCTAGAGTTTGTGACTTTCATCCAGGTTGATTGATACTTCCTGGGGTGATCATTTCTGTTTGGTTTGGGGCTGCAGCCTGCCCTGTGACTGATAAGCACCTTTCATGGACTGTTCAATAGACGATGCAAATTAAGTGTTTGTGGCCTACTAAGAGGAGACTGGTCAGTTCGAGAACCATACCCTGACATTGACAAGGAGTTTTATATATGAGCAGCCAGCCCCACAGGTTTTTAGACAGAAAGAAGCAGGGGAAGAGGAGGCAAGAATCTCCTGAATGAGCCATAGCAAGGGCTAAGGGCCATAACCCTGAAGATGGGACAGGTCCAGAAGGGGCCCAGTAACCGAGTCCGCGACAACAGATTGAGGACCAGGAGGAGCCTGAGGGGTATGAGAGGAGGTCTGCCCGACACTGAGGAAGGCAGACTTTGCTTACATGCTTCCTGATCCTGATTCTGAGTTGTAGGCTGTTAATATTTAGCCTTGTTAATCTTTATCCTGAGTTGTGCCCTATTCCTTCCTTGATAAACCATTTACCTGGAAGGATGGTCTATGAATTCTACGTGTCTACTGTAGTTCATGGAGTCCTGGTGTGGCGCTGCAGGATAATGCGCTGGACTGCAAGGTCGGTTTGAACCACAGGTCACCGGTTCAAACTCACCAGCCGTTCCTCAGAAACCCTGTTCAGTGTAGCTATGAGTTGGAACCTACTCGCTGGCACTTAACAACAACCATTGCAGTACATGATCAAATCCAGAAGAGAAGTAGAAAGTGCCTTGGTATAGACGGCTGGTGTCAGAATTGGTAAAAACTTGACGGGTGGAGGGATGCTTGACCTTCACCTCATACAATCAGCCTTGGGCTGATCTTGATTTGCATTATCCTTATCCCCACTAAAGTTAGACTGGTTCTGAGTAGGAACCAACTCAATAGCACTTAACAACAACAATGTTGTTACTATTACTGTTACTAGTCCCATTTCACACCATGAAAAGTACAATTTGAAGCTGGACAAAGTCGATTCTGGGTGAAACTGGAAGCAACAGGTTAGTTAAAAGCTCTATTGACTTTTTAGGGAATTTTGTGCCAATACAGATTCCTTCTTCCAATTATCAGAATAAATCCATATGCATCTGTGTAACCCTGTTAAATTTATAGTAAATGGAGATTCACTATCGATTCTAGGCTCTCTCCAATGTTTTCACTAACTGTGAAAAAACAACGAATTTACCCAGAGCTTTTTTAGGACAGGACGTGTTTATGTGTCATTGTGTCATTGTGTGTTAGGAAAGGGAAACTGGCCTGGGTGAAGGATCCAGAGGAGATTTGGAGCATTGATTACCTATGCACCATCAGAGCCAGCCAACCAGCTTCTCAGAAACTCAAGCACACTTTTCATAAAAGAGAGACTGCAAAAGGGTCTCAGTGAATGAATAACCCTGAGTTTCAAATTTTCAATCTGCACTTAAATGACTTATACTTTTCACATCGAATATTGTCCAAGGAAACCCAGGTCTTCCAGGGATATCAGAGTGTTCGGTTACAAGCTCTGTGTCTCAGCGTATAAACACACACACCTAGTCAACCTGATTGCTGAACTATGCCTGTGATCATCTCTCCGTCCTTTCTGGGGAGAATGCAATGCTCTCACAAAAAGCAATGTTCCAGGGGGAGTTCAATTTTTACCTCTTTTCAAAGCTGTCTTTTGAGAGTTGCTCCCCTGTGTGGAGGAGGCTGAAGCTGTCGGAGATCTCTAGGAGTTCCTTTTGGTCATTGACTTGGCTTTTGAGGCTCAGTTCTTTCTCTTTCCTTTTTTCCATCTGCTTCTGTAGCCTTTTGTGCTGCATTTCCTGCAGTGCCTTGAACTGGAGCCGCAAGATGTCCTGAGAGCCTTCATCTGCTGCCATCTTGCCCTAGGAGTCAAAAGGAAGCTTAAGCAAACTCCATAAAATGCACATTTCCCAAGCATGTTGTTGTTGATGTGTGCCGTGGAGTCAGTTCCGACTCATAGTGACCCTGTACAGGGTTTCCTAGGCTGTAAATCTTTATAGGAGCAGAAAGCCTCATCTTTCTCCCGCGGAACAGCTGGTAGTTTCAAACTGCTCGGCTTGAAGTTCACAGCCCAATTAGTAACAGCGTAATGGTTACGAATCGGGCGGCGAGCCGCAAGGTCAGCAGTTTGAAACTACCAGCGGTTCCGTGGGAGAAAGATAAGGCGGTCTGCTCCCGTAAAGATTTACAGCCTCGGAAACCCTATACAGGGTCGCTATGAGTCGGAACCGACTCCACGGCACATAACAACAACAACAACATGCTACCAGAGCTCCTTAGGGGAAAGGATAGAGAAGTTAATTAAATACTGACTAGGAGAAGCAGCTAAACACAGGTGTTGAGAGACAAAATAGATGGGTGAATTGTCAGCTGGTCAGACTCAGAGCAGCCATCTTGAACTTTTGCAAGCAGCACTGAATCGAAATGGCCTGACAGCACAGACACACTCTGGTGGCTAGCGACAAGAAAGGTAAGATTCTGTCTGGCTCCCCACACTCTCCTGGTGACCAGAGGCCTGGCCAGCTCCCACCCTCAACCACTCCCTGCTCTGCCAGAGGTCGGAGCCATTCCACTGTGTGTTGGGTGCCCCTACACATGAACTCCACCTCTTCAGACCAGCAAAGTGTGTATTGTCTGTCTCTGTCAGTCTCCTGGATAAGCAGGTCCTCCGGTAACTAGCTGCGCTGCCCGCAGCTACCCTTCTGGGAACAAAGACCCTGACCTCAGCCACCATTAGGGCCTGCAGGAACTATTGCTGGCCTAGGTGTCCTGACCATAGACAACACCTAGGACTACAGGAACTCCCATCTAGGGCAGGGCTAGGCTTGCCACTCTCTCGCTCCTCCCTCTGTCACCTCCTGAGTACCAAGTACCCTGCTCCACCATAAAGAGGTCTTATGCAGCAGATTCGCCTAATGCAATACACGGTTTGATTTCTTGACTGCTGCTTCCAGGAGTGTTGATGGTTGATCCAAGCAAAATGAAGTCTTAGACAACTTCAATCTTTTCTACATTTATCATGATGCTATTTATTGGTCCAGGTGTGAGGATTTTTCTATTCTTGACACTGAGTATTAAAAGAAATAAAAAATGAAATAAAAAATTCCTTGAGGCGCTATCGTGTGCACCTGTGGAGAAGCAGCGGCACACACCCCTGCCCTCTCCGGAGACACAGGGCCATGCTTGACCCTCGGGGCTTCGGTCACGGGCTCAAGTCCCCTGCTCTGGGAGAGGAGGCCAACTGGTAGGGCTGAGTGGTGGAGCCAGGGCTCTGAGCACTGAGGACGGCGTTGATACTGGTGTTAACAACGGCTTCAGCAGGCAGGAAAGATGAAAGGTAACCGGATTGAGCTGGGAGATGTAACAACACCCCACAATATTAAACAGTTTTAGAGATTAAACCAGGTCATCTTTCCAGTCAGCTACAATAACAAGTTCTACAACGATGTGCTGGAGGTGGACGAGATAGTAAAACTTGCATGTTTCAATGACATTGCAGTAGGTACAGTGTGCTGTAGGGTGGATCATTCACAGAATCAGAAGAGACTTTACATCATGACACCTTACCGAAGGCTAGGAATAGTAACTAAAATGTTAAATCATGTCTTAAACATCTGTGAAAAAGATGGCACTTTTGATAACATCTATCTGCATGTTCAGATCAGCAATGAATCAGCAATTGACTTCTATAGGAAGTTTGGCTTTGAAATTATTCAGACAAAGAAGAACTATTACAAGAGGCTAGAGCCCGCGGATGCTTACGTGCTGCAGAAAAACCTCAGAGTCTCATCAGGCCAGAATGCAGATGTGCAGAAGTTACACAACTGAACCAATTACACATGAACTTCTTGCACTGGCTTGTAGCCAAATAAAAGAGAGGCCCATTAATTTTCCCCAAAACTTTCTTTTAAAGCTTTCCTCTCCTCTTTATTCTTATTTCTCTTTCTTCCCTTTTCTCTAAAAGTTTTAATACTTTCAAGGACTTTAAAAATCATGTTTGGATTCTTTTAGTTTGCTTATTTTTGTGAGATGGTTTGGTTGAAGGCAGGGAAAAGTATAGTAGGTCTGTTTAGTTTCACATTTAAAGATATATAGTCCCAAAATTTTGGGTGTTAAATCATTTCTGATTTTTTTAACAGATTTTTGTTTAAAGTCCTGCTTTTACATTGAAGGGCAGAGCATACAAAAATATCATATTTCAAAAGACAAAAAGAAACAGCAGCAATACTTGTTCTAATTCATAGACAAGTTTAGTGTGTTTGTGGTACTTTGGTATTTTAAAGACTATTTGTGGGGTACAAATGATCCCTGGACATTGCCTTACTCCCTCTACCTTCAGTCCTTCTGAGCACTGTCTCCAGAGTTGGACCATTATTATCCTTGTAAGAAATACATTTTTTAAAAAAACGGTTATTTCCTGTCTTCCTATTGGTGGTTAAGGGTGGATGGAGCACCCTTATAAATATAGATAGTGTGATACTATATATTTTGGTCTTAGTATTTGACTTAATATGCTTTTTCTAGTGAGTGCACAGGGTTCTTAGAAGACTCATTTTTCCTGCTGTTGGTTGTTACTAGTGGCATTAACTGCTAGAGTGCGGGCTGGTGAGCTTATTATCTTTTAGTATTTAGCTAGAAACATGGCCTTAAACTGACCTAAAGAGCTTTGTTGTAGTTTACTTTTCACTGGTCTTTTTTCTTTAGTAAATCAAATAATAGTAAGTTTATTTAACCTTAAAAGTGGAGCTGATGTTCCATAGATCAATACCTTTAAATAAGCCTTAACTAGATGTTTTCATCTGAACATATTAAAAAGTACCTAAAGGGAAACTTTGATAGACTTATGGCACAATAAATGCATTTACTGTTGGCTAGTGCTGGCTGCTACCACTCGTCTGTCAGTCGTACTGTGGTGGCTTGTGAGTTGCTGTGGTTCTGAAAGCTATGCCACCACCTGTATTTTAAATATCAGCAGGGTCATCCATGGTGGACAGGTTTCAGATGAGCTTCCAGATGAAGACAGACTAGGAAGAAAGAGTGACGAACTACTTCCGAATATTTAGTCACTGAAAACCTTATGAATAGCAGAGAAACCTTGTCAGATATTGTGCCAGAAAATGAGCCCCTCAGGTTGGAAGACACTCAAAATGCGACTGGGGAAGAGCTGCCTCCTCAAAGTAGAGTTGACAGTGATGACATGAATGGAGTAAAACCCGTGGGAGTAAAGCCCTCATGACCTTCATTTGCGGATGGGGCACAACTCAAAATGAAGAGAAACAGCTGTAAACATCCATTAATAATCAGAACATGGAAAGTATGAAGTATCAATCTAGGAAAATTGGAAATGGCCAAAAATGAAATGGAACTCATAAACATAGGTATCTTAGGCATTAGTGAGCTGAAATGGACTGGTATTGGCCATTTTGAATCTGACAACCACATGGTTTACTATGCCAGGAATGACAAATAGAAGAGGAATGGTGTTGCATTCATTATCAAAAAGAACATATCCAGATCAGTCATGAGGTACAATGCTGTCTGTGATAGGATAATATCCATGAGCCTACAGGGAAGCCCATTTAGTACCACTATTATTCAAATTTACGCACCAACCACTAAAGCCAGTGAGGATGAAGTAGAAGAATTCTACCAACTTCTTCAATCTGAAATCGATCAAACATGCAATCACAATGTATTGATCATTACTGGTGATTGGAATGCAAAGGCTGGGAGCAAAAAGGAAGGATCAGTAGTTGGAAAATATGGTCTTGGTGATAGAAATGATGCTGGAGAACGAATGATAGAATTCTGCAAAACCAGTGATTTGTTCATTTCAAATACCTTCTTTAAACAGCATAACAGACGACCTACACATGGACCTCACCAGATGGAAAACATAGAAATCAAATTGACTACATCTGTGGAAAGAAAAGATAGAAAAGCTCCATATCATCAGTCAAAACAAGGCCAGAGCAGACTGTGGAACAATCAATTACTAATATGCAAATTCAAGCTGAAGATGAAGAAAATGAAAACAAGTCCATAAAAGCCAAAATATGACCTTGAATGTACCCTACTGGAATTTAGGGATCATCTGAAGAACAGATTTGATACATTTAAATACTAAAGACTGAAGACCAGAAGAATTGTGGGATGACATCAAGAACATCATACAGGAAGAAAGCAAAAAGTCATTGAGAAGACAAGAAAGAAGGAAAAGGTCAAAATGGATGTCAGAA